TGTATTGTAAATTTTTGTTGTTAGATTCCATTGGTAATAAAGACCTTATGTGGTTTGGGGCAGAGTGTGAGGGTCAGCCAATCAGAAGCAAACAGGGTCGGGGTCTCCCTTGTTCATGGGATCACGGTGGTCTCCGCTGGTGCAGGCACAGTTTTCTCCAGTACAGTGGATGGCAGTAGAGGCCTGTGATCGAGACTCGTCCAGGGCGTGTCCTGTCCCACCACCACCACCACCACCACCGGATTCACTGATGGCTGCCGTTAGGAAACAACAACAAGCAGTGGAGTGAACGGATTCACACCAGCTGCAGAGTCCATCTCATGTTTCTGATCCTTTCAACCCACCCCGTCCCGTCTCACCCGCGGTCAACCCACCACGATGCCTTCCGTGCAGTGCTTGTTGCTGACGTACGACGCGCTGAACGAGAGCGGGACTTTCTCTGAGGGGGACACGGTGAATGGCAAATTGACTCTGGTGTTGCTGAAGGACATTTCAGCCCAGAGCCTCTATGTGAAACTGAAGGGGGACGCCGAGGTCCGCTGGTCCAAGAAGACCGGCGACAAAACACGGACATACAGCTCATCCAAGAGATACTTCAAACTCAAGCAGTTCCTGATCGCAGCCCAGGACTCCAAAGGTTAGATCTTATTATTAGTCACATAATCAGGGCCCTGGCTGTTTATTCTGTTTACCACAATATCACAAACAAGTTCACTCACATGTTCAAAACTTACTGATGTCGTCAGGAGATGTGGTGTCTGAAATGCYATGTGTAGTCCTCCCCATAAAAGAAATGTATCTTTGGGTTCGAGGTCCACAGGTCCTGAGGAATTTGGAGAAAGCCTGAACGTATGGTAGGGCGTTAGGTCACAGTTCTAAGGGGTACACTAAATTTGAGCTAGTGCCTTCTCTCCCTGTCACCGGACAAATGAGAAGAGCTGGATGAAAACCAGATGTGTTTTCTTTAAATTAACGAAAACAACACTCCTTTATAAACGAGGAGTTGAAGTTGCCCCCTTAGAAGAGATTCACATTGGCCCCGAATCTCTCTCCAGGCAGGAGAGATGCACATTGACCCCGGATCTCTCCATATGCAGATTGCATTGCTTGTATTGATGCTGAACGTTTTTGTTATAAACATTTTATACAATTAAGACGGTGTCATCGGAGATTCCTTCATCATCTTCACATCATTGCAACCCCAATATACGACAGAGATAAATAATTTTCAAGGTTCAGTGTGTAGAATTTTGTGATATCTACATGTTGCAGCTGAACACCCCTCACCTCACCCTCTCCTTCCAAACATGATAAAGAACCTGTGGCAGCCTTTCATTGTCATAAAAACTCAAAAGGTGTTTAGTTTGTCCAGTCTGGACTAATGTAAAAAAAATCATGGTGGCCTCTGTAGAGAGGGTCCCCTCGATGTAAATATAAAGTATTTAAATATAAAGGGTCTTTTCTGGGCTAAAGAAAACTACAATTCATACAATTGAGATGATACAAACTAGTGAAAACATCATGAGGGTATTCTACATTAGGTTTCTGCCAGTAGTTCACTGTCACCTAAATCTTACACACACACGGCCCATCCCTGTTTCATAACTTCATTTCAGTGGGTAGGACTGTTCGACAGGCCGACAGAGGGCTTGGGTTACAGTAATATAGAGTATATATTAAAGAATATTATTACTGTGACATTTATGTTCAAACATAGACATAGATGTAGCTGTTAACTACCTGAGGGTTTTGGTTTTTCTTTACCACATTATCCAAAACAATTTGATTCTCACATTCAAAGCTTGCACATGAGATCCCTTTAGGATTAGTTTTATATACTTTATAATGTATAAGGGTGTATAGTATAGTAGGCTATAGCTTTATAGTATAGTAAATAGGTTGGATCAGCAGTGCAATTAGAGCAACAATTTTGTTTAAATAAAACAAAGTAAAAAGAGCTTAATAAGAAAAGTCAAATACAAACTATACACAAAATCGAAGTGACAAGTGTAAACTGTAGAGGAATATGTATCTATAAGTTACTGCACATTTTCCTGAGTTGATAAAGCAAAACAGTGCAAACAGGCAGGGAAACAGATGTGCAGAGGATATTGACCTATGCGTAGAAGTACTTTGTTAGTCTACACCAGTATTAGAATACTGTCAGAACTAATACCAACATCCTTTCTTTTTCAGAAACGGATGTTCCCAAAGGGACCCATGTCTATAAATTTAGCTTTAAAATACCAGAACAGTAAGTACAGTAAGTCAATTGACTCAGACACAATGTCTATATTTCAACTATGTAACTGATTTTAATTAACATAAAAAAGTATGCCTCTGCGCATTCTCTAAACTGACTTGTCATTTATCTGCTTGTTATCGATACAGAAGTATGCCTTCATCCTTCAGAGGAAGTCATGGAAAGATCATTTACAAGCTGGAAGCTGCACTGTCCAGAAGTTGGAGGATGGACAGTACAACAAAAAAGGAGATAAATTTTGTCTCCAAAGCCTTTCCAAACATTCACTCTCTGATGGTGGGTAAAACATTAAAGCACAGATGTACACATCTCTGATATTCTCACTTAATCAAATCCACTCCAAAGGTTGATGGGCTCTCTCTTGGCCCATCTTCCATTAAAGGTTCAGTGTGTAGAATTTTGTCGTAAATTTGCATGTTGCAGCTGATTACCCCCCACCTTACCCTTCCCTTCCAAACAAAAAAAAAACCTGTGGTAGACTTCAAGATGTTTAGTTTGTCCATTCTGGATTACTGTTAAAAACATGGCGGCGTCCATGGAGACGACCCCCTCTTGATGTAAATATAAAGTATTTCAATATAAAGGGGCAATTTTAGGGTAAAATAACAACAAACTAGTGAGAACATTGCTAGGTTTAATTTATATTCAATTTCTGCCAGTAGATCCCTTTCGCCCAAATCTTACACGCTGTACATGGTACTCTGAAAAATAACCGTAAGAATTTGAATTTGTACCACTGAAATTTAGGGAGTTTTTCATTACAACAAAAAACAATGAAGACATGATTTCTTTAGTAGAAGGTAATTGAAAAGTGCTCTCAATTAACTGCTCTTGTGCAATGGTACTCACTTGCGGCCCTGTGGACCAAGGTATCTTCTCCTGTCCTATAACTGCAACACTTAAATCATGCATCGTATTGTCTAAATAATGGAAGTGGATCAAAAGTCATTGTTTATGGTGTTAATTGCATTCCAGGCACCTCAAGTTGGTTCAGTGCACAAAGAGATGGGGCTGTTCTCATCAGGACAAGTACACATGGACGTCGGTGTTGACAAAACAGCTTACGCTCCAGGTAATTAAATTCCTCATCAAACATGGCAGGTTCCGGTCTTGGAAGGACACCTCCTGCTCCATACTGCAGAGCTTATTTTTCATTTGATGGTTGTCACTGCCAAAATAGCAACCTTAACAAAACATGCACTAATAACATAATGACATTAAAGATTAAGAGTTATCTTTGCACTTTGTATGTACTGTACAGTCCTGTTTCATGACTGACATTTTGACATGTCATCGCAGGAGAAGCACTTGTTTATAGCCAACATCACCTGTGCTCTTGGAAGGCTAATGTGTCTGCCATGAACATGGTCTGTGGTCCATGGGGGTTTTTAGTTAAGCAATAAATAAAGAGTTGGTTGAAAATCACATTTTAGAGCCTATGGTTTGTTTCCTGACATACATTATGGTTAAAATCACTAAAAAAGAGAGTCGTTACCATGTGAAAGTTGTGTACGTGGTGTCCTAGATGTTCATTTTGTTAGGTCGTGAGAACACAGCTGCGAGGCAACAGCAACATGGACGCTAATATTTACATTACTGTTGGTGTGTAGAAGCCACAGAAGATAACAATTCAGAATGCTAGCAGGTATGTAACTCAATGCTGGTAATATAAAGCCATAATGACAAGAAGAGACGGTTGGGAATATCAACGTTTTCAGAAATGGAGGCAGCCATGGAAGTGTTAAAGTTTTTTTTGTTGAATCAAAAGTTCAAAATCAGATTTTCATTCATATGAACTCTTTTTCAGGAACATGGTAAACAAGACCCCATTTGAAAGAACATCACAGTGTTATTCACAGACATGGGTCAGATAATACTTTCAAATTACATCCAAAGAGTAATAAGTGGGTGGGCTTTACCCTTTCAGCTCTTCTCACATTTAATGTGAGAAAGTTGCGCCTCATGGGCATGATACAAATCACATGACATTTGTGTGTCTGTCAACTGAATTAAATGAAATGAAAACTAATTTCAAATGTTATGTTTTTACCTCATAGGTGAAACAGCGATGATTGTCGCACAGATCAACAATTCCTCATCCTCTGACATGAATCCCAAATTCAGTTTTATCCAGAATGTGGTGTACCGTGCCAGCGGTAGTACCAAACTTGAAAACCTTGTTATCCACAAAGTGGTTGGCAAATGCGTTAAAGCCCAAACAAGGCAGGAGGTCCAGTGTGCAATAAAGATTCCTCCTGGTCAGATGCAGACAATCCAGAACTGTGAGATAATCACAGTGGAATACTTTTTCAAGGTATGTCATGTTTAACTGTGAATCTTAATGCTATCGTGTAGATACTTCTGAGATGTTTCAAAGGGATTTTTTTAAGATTATCAATTTTGTTGACTGTCAGGTGTTTCAAGTGATGCAGCATGTACTAATAAGGCAGCCATATTTTTTTCTCAGGTCTATCTGGATATCAGCTTTGCTTTCGATCCTGAGGTCTTGATTCCAGTGACCATTCTTCCTCTTGACTTCACTCCTGGTCTTCAGCCTGGTGTAACTGCGAGTCCCTATCTAGCTGGAGCAACTGGTGGCCCAAGTAACAGTGACTTCCCTCCCCCAGCAGCGTCTTTTGGTCCATATCCTGCTTCCCCAAACTCAGGTGGTTATGGATACCCAGAAGCTGAAGGGTATTCGGTGCCAAAACCTGCATACTCCGATAACCCACCAATGTACGCTTTCCCATCAAATGCGTACCCTGCTCAGCCACCACACCTGAGTGGGGGCTACAATAACCCAGTGCCTCAGCCACAAGCCCCTTATGGATCTCCCTTTTCGTCCTCATCATCGACGCCTGTGCTTCACCCTCCGCCTTCAGCCCCAACATTTCATCCACCCCCATCTGCACCAGCAATCAATCCATCCCCTTCTTCATCTTTTAACATGTCCCCATCAGCTCCCACACACAACTCTCTGTCTTCTGCACCGATGATGAATGTAGACTTCCTGTCTCAATCGGATGAACCTCCGCCAGCATATTCCCTCCTGTTCCCGTCTTCTGCTCCTGGAAATTCTGATGCAAAATAATCAAAGGAATCCCTAACATCTGCATCAGTTGATGAAGTATTAAGTGAAATGCCAATAGTTAACCATGTGAAATCAGATCACCTATAACTCCTACCTTTGTTATTAGCGTTGCACTTTGTTAGTGTTGTCGAAGATGAAAGCATTTCAAATGAAAAGTGTACTTTGTGCATTATTTCTTGTTCGCATGTAAACAAAAATAGTTAATAATGATTGTTTCGTTTGTCTGGTCAGTTATCAGGTTGCTAATTGGCTTTGTCCAGCTACTAATACTACTGTTGCTCAAACCTCAGTCATCAGGGTACACAGTGTTTTAAATGTGCCTTGTTCAACTCAAGTGTCCTAGAACTGATCATTATTCTTCTCAGCCTTATACTTTTCTCTACTTTACTATTCTGCATCGAGGCAACTTGAAATACACTATTCACAATGTTTTTATGTGTCAAAACAAACAAATCTATATTTTTAAGTTATCAGTCTGTTGGGTTTTTTTTACGAGACAGCAACCTTTGTCTGCAAACCTGATTTGTTGTTATACTAACAAAGTGTTTTCTCTTATATGAATAAACACCTGTTATGGAAACATTTCACTATGTCTCACATTGTTTACTCACAAAGTAGAATACATCTTTGCAACTAAGTTCATTCTTCTGATCTTATCTCAGGAAAGATGGATGGATGGTATACCCTAATTATTTCTGTGAGGCAGTCTGGTTTACATTTAATTGTAGTAATGGGAGGACAAAAGGAGGAGTACTGTTGTTTATGTCCCCAGGATCATTTTAATCTCATATTTTTGTATCTTTTTATCTTATAAACTATAACATCTTATAAGTCTGTTAGATTTAGCCTTTCTATGGAAAATCCAATTTCTTTTTTTATTCTTTAGCCTATAAGTAATTTTGAATTTCACTTCCAACAGTAAAACAACCTAGTAGTTAACATAATAGTAATAGTTAACATAGTTCAAATATATTTTTACAAATCATGGTTCACTTAAACTTAACGTTCAGGTAACAACCCCCTTTAATTTTGTAAACTGAATATCCTGTTGTGGTTTTTTAGATGCTTTAACTGCTTGACATGAGGCAATAGAGGAAGTTCTTTGATGACATCAGTGTTGGGACGGAGACAGATGTGACCTGCCCACAGAGACAAAAAGCCTGTGAGTGTTGAAGTGGGATGTAATAACCCGGTGCTGCGTACTGTGACAAATGTCTCCAATAAAGGACTTCACTCTGACATATGAAGCTTTCAACCCTGAGGGCTTCTCCGAGGGCGACACCATCACAGGCACAGTGACTTTGATTTTGACTAAAGACACCAAGGTCAAGAGCATCTTTGTCAAAGCCAAAGGGGACGCGAGCGTCCGCTGGCTAGAGGTGAACGCAAACGGGTGGCAATTTCACAGAGCGCACAGAAGATGTTTCAAAGTGAAAGAATACCTGGTCAAAGAAGCTGCCAAAGGTAAATAAAATTAAACTAAAGCCGCTTTAATTTGCTAACAGATCTTTATATTTCGACATGATTTACATTCATCTAAAATAGAATTGGGCAATAAAACAATGACAGTACAGTATAAGTTTAATCAATAAGTTCCATGTAGGCCTATATGAGCTATGCATTGTGCATGCACAGTGGGGAGTTATAAGACATGATTGGTTTTAATGTTCTACCACACATTTGTAAAATGTTTTGCTGCCTAACAAGTGTGTGTTATTTTCTTTAAACTACAAACTTCAGTGATAGTAATTTATCGTGATAATTATCGATTTTGCCCATTCTTAGCACAAAATAGTTGTTTTTACGAGCATGGTCAATTTGACAGATTGTATTATATCCTTATAGGCCGCTGCAAAAATGTTTAATTTTGGTACCTGAGCAACTTTGCATTGTCTGTTCATCAGATTACTGACTTCTTCTTTTTGTAGGCACTGTACTTCCCCAAGGAGTCAATCACTTCAAATTCAGCCTTACATTCCCACTGATGTGAGTATGACTGTCCAGCATCTATGCATGAATAAAGTGTCATTGAATATGTTTATTCATGGACAAGAATGTTCAGATATTAACCTGATTAAGAGAATAATCTGGATTATAGACACAGCATCAAAACAGCATTTTCTGATTATTTGTACCTGAATTAGGTCATTCTCAGAATAAGCAATAACCAAATGAAGACATGTGGAGTATGTCAGATTAGTCAGATTATGTAGACATACATGTGTCTTAAGTGCAGCGTTTTGCAACATCGACATACAGCAACTGCTCGACGTCACAATGAGACTGTGCTCTGTATCGTGTCAACAGGAATATCAATGTATTATTAGTTATTCATGAAAACATAATTTAAAATTAAAAAATGAGGTAAATAATCATAATTGAACTGTATATGTAAACATAGTTATTACCTACTTTTACAAAATGCTGCATTTGTGGTCTTGCTCTTTCTTACAGGGACATGCCATCATCGTTCAAGGGACCTCATGGAAAAATCGTTTACATGCTCAAGGCTAAGGTGTCCAGGTCCTCGGGGCAGCCTTCACAAGTACAACGCAAGATCATGTTTATTTCAAAGTCGCTCCTACACCTTAACCAGGTAGAATTGGTAAGTGGGACACTTGATAGGCTACAGGTTATGCATTTGATACACTATTTGTTTATTTGGCATTCTTTAAAGTTTAGCTGCTGATAAGGAAAAGCTTTAAGATAAGAGTTCACACTGGTAAAGAGACAACTTGAGGGGTTGAAGGAAAGGCAACAATTAAAGTTGCCTCGTAAATGTGAGAACAGTTTTTTTTCACAGTATGTGTTTGAGCAAAGTTTCATGTAGTTTGTCATGGTGGATATTATAACCTATGATAAGGAAGTAAAGTACATAAAGAGGAAATATAGTAATGTTATGTATATTATATACTCATCTTTGGCCTCTTTGGTTGACATGTGGTGTTGCTATGGTTTATTTGTGACCTTGATCTGGCAGTAAGAGTGTTATCATTGTGGGCCAGATGACAGTGTGGGCCAAATCTGGGCCAAAACAGTTTCGCTATGTGGGTCAAAGATATCTGATGCCACCACAGAGTCATAAAAGTTGATACAAATAAATGTTTGTAATTGTATTCTAATATCCACAGAACGGTTCAGTGTACAAAGAAATGGGGATTTTTTCTAAAACAAAGGTCAAAATGTTTGTGACCGTCGACAGAAGGATTTACTCTCCAGGTAAAGTCACTCCAGCTCACTTACAACCAAATGTCAGTGTAATTCATGAAGATGTCATATAACATCAGCATTGATATCAAATATTTGCAGCAAGTCAGATGGAAATTGTTATTATTCACCATATGTGTGGTGACATTATTGTTGTGAAACTAAAATATTCAGATGTTATTTATTTTCTTCATAGGTGACACTGTGTCAGTTGTTGTCAACATCCACAACTCCACCTCCAAAAAAATGAAGCCCAAATTCATTTTGCAGCAGAAAACAAGGTACAGCACCAGAATCTCCGTTAAAACCTGTGTCAAACATCTGTGCAAAATGGTTGGGGACACAATCACACCGAAATCACAGCAAACGGTCTCCTGCCAGTTGAAGATTCCTGATGATGCCTTCCACACTGTCACTAACTGTGAGCTTATCTCAGTTGAATGTTACCTCAAGGTATGTAATCATGAGAAATAAATCCATGTTTCGAAATCAATTAATTGTTCTTGTTTGAAAATAATGGTGGTTAGATGGTTGTTACACACAAATTACTATCTTTAACAATCATTAGAAATATTAGAATAAAAGTTTTATGTACGTATGAACATGGTCACCATTATAACAGACAGTGATTATGTTAATGTGCCAATCAGCTCAATCATAATAGCAGTTTTGTTTCCACTGTAGAAGGATTCAACTCCTTATGTATGTCTCTATCCGCTAGGTGTATTTGGACATCAGCTTTGCTACTGATCCAGAGGTGGTGTTTCCACTGGTCATCAGCCCCTTTTCCTCTGTGCGTGCAGAGGCTGTGGAGACGTACCCAGCTGGGGCCTCTGGGGGCCTGAGTGAGAGCGACTTCTCTCCCTCTGCTCTGCCTGCTGAAAATCATACATGGACGTAATAACAATCAGTGGCCACACAACTGCGCTGCTCCATACAGTTTTTCACATGCGTCCTTCCTCTGATGAAGTCACTCACTCTTAAATACAACTGTTGATATTTTAAAACAAATACACCCCCTTCCTTTACTGCTCCTTCAGAATAGTAATAATCAGAGGAATAATTTTACCAGCAATTAGAACTCAGGGAATTCAGAAAACTAAAACTCAGGAACAAAAGTAGACGATCAGACTAAACCCTCCAAACAAATGTCTCTCAAAAGTTTACAGAGGCGGAATCATGATACAGAAATTGTTTTGGGGACTGAAGAGGTAACAACCTTCTTTATGTTATGCTCCGACTCCCTGAGACGGCAGCCTAAGATTACATATTTTCACTCGGTCCTTTTAATTTAGATCTTTATTTATTTATGCATGACAACTCAGTTGGTCCCCTTTCACTCAACTGATTTTCTCCTATCAAAACAAGTGAATATGTTTTTATTGGCAACAAAACCTCACATGTTGTACAGAAGCAACATTTGCGCTGCAGGCAAAATGGAAACTGTTAGATACAGATACAGTTTAGATATCATAGAAAAATATGTTTACTCTCCAGGTAAAGTCTCTGCAGTTCACTTATAACCAAGCATTAACATAAGATTAGAGCTGATTTCTTTGAATTGCCCTCCGGGGACAAATAAAGTTGTTTTGAATTGAATATCAGATATTTGTAGCTTTGCACATTGTTTCATTGCTAAGTTGGATGGAAGTTGTTCAGGTATTAAGTTTGATTACCACATCTAAAAAAGGCAACTTATTTGTTTATGTACAGGGTATACTGTAATAAACAATTATTAATGAGTGGTGTTTTTACAACAGGAAATAATTGCGTATACAGATATTTGTTAATAAGTGACACAAATCCTGTTCCTGTGGCAACACTAAACAACAAATTACTTTGTCCCCTGTAACTCAACCAGTTTTCTTCTATATGCAAGCTTTATGTTGACCAAGGTGGATCTGCAAAGAAAAGTGGCCCACGCACTTTGTTCGAGAGTACATTTTGACCCTACCCCTTCCAAGTTTATTTTGATGATGGGCCTTTCACATTCTTTCTGGAGCATCCTGATAGAGAAAAACATCATGTGACCGCGCAGGCCCCCAAAGCTGTCCCATTTCTCACAGTAACGAGTGGATGATCCTATTCAGCTCGGAACACTGTTTTCTCCTTAGAACAGATTTATGATCTTTAAGTCTAATTGGTAGTCCATGGAGTTGAAGCACAGTGGTAGAAAACACTTTCTTGTCTGCCATAGTGATAAACAAGGAGTGTGTTTGGGTTGTGAGTGATATGAGAAAATTCCTGTTTGCCTGAGTAAGCAGAATATACAAAACAGTAAACAAATGCATTCAGCCCATGGGGATTTTTGCCCTTATCAAAAGGACTGTGATGACAAACTGCTTGCTGGTGAAGAAAGGCAACAGGCAAGAGAGGAACTTTAAACATAATATCATCACTAAGGGTTGTAATTACTTTAAAAAGGGAAACATATTGTGTGTAGGGCCATATGAAAAAAAATAGAAGAGAATTAAGTATTTTTGTAAGTTTAGAAAAAAGCTGAAGGTTGCAATGTGAGTTTGAAGAAGGCTGCAATGTCAAGAAATAATATAAAATTACGCAAGTCCAACAAAACCAGGGAATTCTAAAAGGAAAATAGTCAAATCATGAACAATAATGTCAAAATTGAGTCAATAAAGACATTTTTTATTTATTTTGCAATTTGAGAATAAGGTATGGGAAAAAAAAACTGAAATCTGAAATAGAAAATTTTAAGAATGTATACCAGACTACTAACTTTCTATATATTTTGTGGGTGAATTGGTAAAATTGTACTTCAACTTCAGAATCCGTTGCAGGCTTCAAATTAATTCTCCAAATGCAAAAGGAGACAGAATATTCCTCCTTCAGTTCTGACTGGCCCTACCAAGCTTTCCTCCATAGAGTTATTCTTCAGTATTGATCTATGTCACACACGCATTGTTGGTTGGCCCCTCCCTCCTCTGACCATGTGATGGACGCACACAGGGAAGTTACGTGAGTTGTTGGCCCCGCCCACTTGCACTTGTTGCAGTTGCGGACAGATTCAGAGTTTTCCCGGAAGAATCCGGAGGTCTCTGTCTTCATCATCATGGGAACACGGATGCTGCGCTTCTATCTGCTGGTTTTGCTGGTTTTCACAAGTAAGACATCAAAGTTTGAACTTGTTCCAAGTCAACTGGCAAATTGAGCCGCAGTTGTTTTGAAGCCAGAGAAAACTATTCATGTAAATGCCCTGTAAAGGTATTTTATTAGAGAGAATGCACAAGTGCAAACTACAGGAGTTGAGTTGGTCGATCAGTATTTAGTGGGTTCGTTAACGCCAACAACAAACATTGCATGTCCAGAGTGTGACTGTCTTTATCTCACCAGAAGAATTATAGCTAAATATTAGCTGCTTAAATCCATTACAATTGTATCTAGATTAAGTGTGATGCTTCAGTTTTATGCCGAATACAGCAAAGCATGTCAAGACACACATTTATTATTCATCTTTTAATATTGTCTTGATATATGAATGATATGTGGACACTGAAATTATTTTTAATACATGTCTAATATTTTGCTCTTGAGTTGTTCATAACTAAGTTGTTATGTAAAGTTAAAAGTAGAACAGACTTATCTGATATTAGATCAAATTCAGCAATGTGCTTCAAGCTGTGTCTTTATTCAGGGGCTGCATTCTTTGGAGGCTACATTTGAATACAGATTGCGTCACAGCAGCTCGACCAGTTTTGTCCCATTTCGAAGGGTCCTCTAAATGCATCCTCTCATCCCTGAGAAACGAAGCCTCCAAGAGGTGATCCCTCTCAGCCCAACCTGTCCCAGGTTTCATTGTGCTTCAGTGATAAACCGTTTTTTAAAGAGGTGATGGTGCCAGCAAGTGTCAAGACGTGCGATGCTTGAATACCATGCTTCAACTCTACCGGACAACTAACTGTACACATGCTTGGGAACAGTTACGCATCTGTATTTTAACTCAACCTATGAACCTAATGCCAAACCATGATTGCACATAGACTAAAGCTTCATCCAGAATACTGGTAGAATATGGCTAGTGTTCAGAAGGTTTTGAACAATTTGTCTGAGCCAGTATTATTTGGACTCTATAATTGAAGCCTAGCTCAACGTTCATTTGCATATGAGCGACGCGGAGCAGTGTGGTGTAATTAAATCCGCTCTGCAGATATTGGTCATTAACTGTTTTAGCGACGTATAGAATGATTTTGTGTGGACTTTGCGAAGTCTACAGGGTACGTTGGAGTATAGCAATCGTTTCCCTCATCTTTAATCTTGAAGCAAGGTCATTCCAATTGAACATTTTGTAGTCGGCTTAAGTGAATGGGATTGGATCAAACATTGAAGAGTGTATTGATGCTGGCATACGTTGACATATCCAGCAATTACTGAGATTACAATCACATTTTTTCTGGCTTTGCAGCTTCTTAGCTCACCTGGAACCTCTTGGTAATTAAGTGTCCATGCATTACAGTCAGGATGATCGTTCAGTTGCTGTTCAGTGAAACACCACAGTTCTAGAGGTCTAGTCAATGAAACTGCAGGTGTGAACTTTACCTTCATTGACCTTGCACTTTGTTCTGCTTCTACCCATGTTTTGTCATTAGTGGACCACCACCATCTGCCTCTATAGAAAGCGATGGGATACACAACATAACAGTCATTCACTTTACATCAATATGTCAAGAGGACATGCAAACACAAAAGGTTTTTTAGTTCTTTTTGTCTGGAAGAGAGCTGGAAACACATGTTCATCAGTCTTTTTTGATTCTTCTCCTTCAGGCTCTGTCATCAAAACATTGTCAATTTGTCTCTCAATTTTGTTTGCAATCACGTTTCTGCTGTGTCCAAAGGGAATCGTTGAGTTTTCCTTATGCTCAGAGTTTGATTCACAGTTCACTAGGAACATTCTCTAAAGATGGCCCCTTTTCATGGGACATGGAATGAATGACACAGATCGTGCCATGTGCAGGAAAGCCTCCCTGCTCTCCGTCCTCTGGAACGCCTTGACCTGCTCCATGTCCGGGCCCACTCAGCATGAGGGGAAGGAGGAGTTAACGTCTGGTTACTCGCCATGGATCTGCACTCTCTCCTGCAGGCGGGGGAGCCAATCTGCACCTTGTGGCATGGTTCCATTCTGCTTTTCCCTCGACCTTTAGGGTTGTTCTGGTTGTCAACACTTGGTAGGGACCTTTCCACCTGGGAGACAGAGACAACTTTTCCAAAGATTTGATTAATACAAAATCAGCGTTGGTTGCACTCCCGGTTTGGGGAGCCTATCAGCCACCTGTAAGTGAAATGTTCTCAAAATCTCAGAGAGGACAAGAGACAGTGTCTATGAAAATTCCATAACAGGGGCAAGCTAGTGACTTCGATTACGTAAGCATCTGAAGACCGGACTGTCTCATTCTATGCGTGCCTCAAAAAAGGCGGTCTTCATGGGCTGTATAGGCTGTGTCCTCTGAAGGATGCAGCCCCTAAATCGAGACATAGTTACAGTGAGTTTGAAACAATGTTTATGAATGAAACTATCTCTCGCAGACTCAGGAATAAATCTGTCCTTTATTTGAGTTAGAATCTGTAACTCAATTTATTTTATTCCACTTCCTCCACAGAGGCATCCAGCATAAAGATTCAGAACAAGCTGATAGGTAAATGTCTTCAGGTGCAAGAAGGAACGTGGGGAGGCAGAGTGTCTCTGGGGGAGTGCAGCCCATATTCACCAGTACAGGAGTGGAGCTGGCTCCCGGAGAGCCAGGCTCTCAGCAGCCACTTCACTGGGGAGTGTCTGACGGCCCCGGCAGAGCAGTATGAAGGGGTTCACCTGCAGCCCTGTATTTCAAGGCTTGATAGCGACGGGGCTGACGAAGGAGTGGCAGCAGTGGATATAGGCAGAGAGGAGAGCAGCCAGGCATGGTCCTGTTCCAAGAAAGGCCACCTCTCTTTGATGGGGAGGGGACTGCACCTCAGTGCCACTCCACAATCCACTTTGGTCTACCTATCACAGAATCATAAACAGGTAATGATATTTAAGTTCCTTTTTCATGTGTCAAAATATCTGAAAGTACCTTATTTCAATTATTCAGGAGGTGATATATATATTACATCATAAGAAGAAGTGTTACAAAGTCTTCTCAAGCCTAAAATAATTTTGGCATCTTTACAAGCAGGGCAGCAGGTGGCGGTCTCTTGACAACCAGACATTGTGCAATGGAAGAGAAAGAAAACATATCCAGCAACAAGATCAAACTCACATCTATGTGGGGAAATCTCTAGAACCTGGGATGTTTCCAACTGCCGATGAAAACAGAGAGGCTGAACCATGTAAGAACCTAAAAGTGGAGTAGTTTACTGACTGTTGTTTTGCTACAGTTTGTGACACTAGAACTTCTTTCAGACATGCGTTTTCCAGAGTTTCTCCTGCCAGTCCGCGAGGAAAACAATAACACTAAAGATCCAGCCAGTGGCTTTACTTATTTAAAGCTAATCTTGATTACTAATAGCATCAGCAACATGGTCAATGAAAGTAGATTATTGAAATGAACAGTAGGTCATTATGTTTTTTTGTTGTGTTTCAGTTGGACACTGGTACCATTTAAAAACAGTCATGGTCAATTATAATCAAAACCAGAGCAGAAACAAGTAAACGTGGACATCATGAAAATGAGGATTTAGATTTTCTTGCATTGAAAATGTTGCTATCCAACAGCTGATCCTCAGTGCTCCAATGTTTTGATTTCTCAGAATGCACCAACAGGATATCTGTATCTGTATCTACCCTGGAAACAATATCACAGTGAAGTCCCAGTAATGCTGATTCACTGGCTGAGAGGAAATCAAACCTTCTGGCCTCTAGTTGATTTGTTTATGTATTGTCTCTCTTCCAGCTGAAGGTATAATGGATGACAAGGTCACCGAAACACATCTGATTATCAATGGGACTCATTCGCCACTTAGCACCAAATCCCCTGCAGATCCCACCATGATTTTCTTCAGTATGGATTATGGTAAGTTTGGTAAATGTTAATCAATTAAAGATTAAGACTCAAGTTTTAAGACTGGAAATATTTTCTTGAACAACATTGCATGTAGCTTGACAAATTAGCCTGAACAACTCCCCTTATTCAGAATGAATGCAGTTACTTTCACACCACTAGGTGGAGATGAGTGAATGAGAAACTTGAAAGAAACCATAAAATGAAGTTTATGGTGGGTGTGTTTGTCAAGGTGTTTCAGTTATGTTCAGGTTCAGAGACATGACAGAAACTAAAGAAATGCATGAAGAAGAATGATTATCTAGAAAGTGATAAATATAATATATTGGTCTGTATGTTATTCAGTTTATTTAAACAATGTATGTACAGGGATGGCCTGGAAGATAACCATGCTGGTGCTAAGCTCTTTGGCTCTGGTCCTGGGGACTGTGATTCTTATCCTGAATGTTTACACCAATAGGTCAGTACCTAACACACACAAAAGCATTTTTACTTATATAGATGCACCATTGAAAACATTACTATTCTGCATATGATCATAGCCCAGCAGATAGGGATTTTAAGGGGGCGATGTTTATACCGATTATGGGCATTACAAAATTCAGATTCAGATTTATATTTAAAAAAACTAATTGCCAATTATTCCCACTATGTCATTATCAAAGTCTTATAACAAAGAATTGTAATTTAGGCTTGTTTTACATTTTGACCATACAATTTATTATAAATAACTATAGATAAAAAGAAAAGAAAAACTGTTAAACCCAAATATATAGGACTGGAATTAAGAATTTATTTTTTAAGTTATCATAAATGCAGATATTTTCTGCATTGTATATTCTGTAAAATTATCATTTGGCAAACATAAAAGCAGATACTGATGTTTTAAATGTTTTACATGATTGCTGTTTTATCCTGTGGTAATTTAGCATAACCTGCTATTTATATATCATTTAATTTCCTTATCTTGTTTTAACAATTTCATTTTTATTGCTTTGATTTGAAGCACTTTTTGTGCTTTATAAATACAGTAATTATTGTTATTATTATAATGATTGGAAGTAGAAATAGCCCAAAGGTTACTGGTAACAGTGTCTCTAAAACAAGGTTTACTTGTTCTCTTGTGTCATTTTAATTTGCATACTTGTTTTGTGTGATAATTTCAGTCTCTATTAATTCAGGTTGGGAATTTGACAACGTTTTTGACATTTGAGAGAAATTGGTTAATTCAAACTCCAAATTTGGTGGAATATTTCAAACAGCAAATGTTTTAAACTCAATTTAAACCAAGAATATAGTTGTATGAAGACACTGCTTCATCAGGAAACCTTATTGGATTGTTATTATTATTACCTCCACCCACTTTCCACCTCTGTCTGTCTTCCTGTGCCAGGAGGAAGAAGGTGGTGTGTGTCTTGAAGTCGTACACCGTGAGGCCAGAGGTGAGTGTTCCTGGGTCCCCCGTGCCCAGTGACAGGGCTCCGCTGACAGAGCATGCCATGCGACTCCCCCACTCCTCCCCCACTCTACATCGGGGAGAGATCCTGATTGAGTGGAAGGACGGCACCGTGACACCGCTGTACGAGGCCTGAAGGCTGTGCTGTTGGTGAGGGTTAGGGCGTGGGTGTGTGCATGTGCGCAGGATATACAAAAAATTGAAAAACAACAGGCAAAATAAGGTTTCGGACTGCTGGCATCAGAGAGGTACAGGGCAATGGAAAGTTCATGGCTCAGAATCAGACAATTTTTTGAGGCTTAGCTGCCAGAGGAAGATAAAAGCTGCTGAGAAGCTGCCAGGAAAGAAAAAGATTGAGTTTGAGCTGGGCTTTGACCTTTTTAAAGATAAGAGTCCTGACTGCAAAATAAATGTTTAGCATTCAGATATTGTTTGTAGAGGTACTATAGGTATCATGTAAGGGCTCAACAAAAAAAACATAGCTTAGGCCTTGATAAATACTCAATAAACTAATCTTTGTTTGCTGTAAGGCCCAAACCACTGTAGATGAAGATCTGGTCATGTTTTCTTAGTTTAATGTTGTTATTTCATCTAATATGATTCTTCCTCAGCTGCAGAGGCTTGTGCACTGAATATTAGGATTAATAAGAATAATGACAGTTGTGTTGCACTGTACTTTACCGTGTTGTGTTGACAGAAACAGTGTTTGGTGAAACATGTTTCATGACATAATTCAGTATCATTAAACTTCATCTGTTCATTTTGTAATTTGCTTTGATAATGACCTGACATCATTTGTATTAATTTATATTTGTAATTTAATGTTTGTAATGCACGATGGATGTTCTTGACCTTTGTAAGAGCATTTGACAACACAGTCTCCACTCAGTGGCTGTTTCTAAGCTCTTTTCTGCAGAGATCAACGATATTTAAAAGTCTTAGTAGGTAGGCTGAACAGTAACCGAACTCTAGATCTTTGAACTTGTCAGTAGCCGTTTTCAGACATGAACTCCAGAGGAGGTCCGCAGAATTGGGTCCGGACTTTCTCTGGAGTTTTCCTTTCACACATGGACAAAACAGCAGGAGATTCTCCGCTCAGACACAACAACAGCACAACAATCTCTGGAGGATCTTCTGCTGTGTTCTCACATACAGCCCCTCTGGAGAATGTCCAGAGGTTCATTGTGAAGATTGCGTGATAAGGTTGAAAACTCCAGAGCCAGGTTCAGAAACTGTATTGTCAACTTACGGTGATGTTTTCCTTTTTTTGTACTGGCAACCTGTGTCTGTACTACATCGCTCGACCTACCTGGGTTATGTTTTTATTGTTCGGCCTTCTTTACCTAACATCAGCCTACCTATTTAACCTGAAGCTGTAAAAGCAACATGACACATTGTTCTATGTCGCTGTTGGATGTTACCGACCCGACTGGCAGATGTCATATATCATACAAACAACTTTATTAATAGTAGTTATGATATCGCTAATGATTGACAACGCTGCCTTTGTCACATGAATGATGTTGATAATGACAACATATCCCGGGTATGTCGAACTCACTTTGTCGTGTATTATATATATATATATTATGGTATATTTCACTAAAAGTTTTCCAAAGCTGTGAACTTCCTAATTAAATGTCAAACGGTACATACCTGACGTGTCGTTTTTGTGAAGTGTTTTATGATGTGTTATGTAAAGTTAACATTCTTTAGTGTTTGCTGTACGTCGACAGCTCCTCCGTTTTAATATCATCCCAAGTGAGGGGTTAAGGAAACGACTGCTGTTTACAGTAATTGCATCAGACAGGCTGTAGGGATGCAGTTATCACAGATATGTTAAAGAGTGGAGTGTGGAAACTTCCCAGCTTGAGGAGTCTGTTTACAGCGGAAAATCAAAAGCTATTCTACAGTTTTGGGGGGCAGGGGCCTGTTGTTGGGCTAATTTGATCTCTCCTTCATTTTAAGAATGGTATGTCAATCTTTGTTTGGACCAAACACTACCAGAAGAAAATAACCTATCCGTGTTTTACATGAAAAACGTTTGTTTTATCCAAAGTGCATGTGTAGGCAGTGCTCGCTTATATTTTAATAGACATTTTTCTAGTTAATTTTTTTCTGAAGAGAAAGTAGCACCTAACCTACAGCTAAAACCCTGCTGGTAGCGTTTATACTAATGAGAGGGCACAACGTTTACTGAACAGAACACAGCACCCTGAAAATGACATGGCATCCTACGCCCTTCCAAAACCACATCCACATGCCATACAAGAAAAAAGCAGGTTATTTTCAGTGCTTTTTTTTAAACTCCTTATTTGTTAAATATTACATGAGAAATATTTACATTTTATTGACCTAGAACCTGAGTGTAAATTCAATTCTTAAACCATACACACACAGTGCATATCTCCGCCAAGGCCCAACAGTCCCTTTAAATTCAATCAAGCTGCACCAAACTGTACACACTTATAGATATCAGGGTCCCTAAATATGCTAGATTTTAAAAGTCAAGATACATGAATTATTCCCTGGGAAATCTGTGAAAATGTCCACACCAAAATGTAATGGGTTTTTCCCCAAACCAAATCCTGTCGCCAAGTTTCATGGTAGTCCATCTAATAGTTTTGTGTAATTGTCCTGACGAACAAACAAACATACAAACAAACCAGCAAACTTGGCAGAGGTAACTGTCAAGGAGGTCATGAAGCAAAACATTGACTTGAGGGTGAAGTGCTGATTTTCAGCTCTATAATTTGAGGTTGTTGTTGTACACATGGTGTGAATGGTTTACGAACCACAATCCTGCCAGTTTCCTCCTGCACAGGATTAGACTTGAAGTGGATTGTACTGTAAGTGCTCATCCAGTTTTTATCAAGTAAACAACTCATAGACCCTGAAAACTAAAAGTCAGCAGCTTAACCAGTCATTGTTTAATTTAAAATCCTGGTGTGCCAGGTTATTGAGCCAAAACAGCACAGCCTGTCACTCAAATATTGCTGCACTGTATGTGCACAGACGTGTCTTTTTTATCCAAGATGAAAGAAGAGGGTGGGAGCGACATCTGTATGAATAAGAGGTGTGACCGACTGACTCAGCATTCTCAATACCTGCTGGAGCGCATGGATCTGGTTCCACAGTCTCCCTTTAAAGAATTCTTCTGATCAAGAAACCATTCAAACAAACCATTAACATTGCTTCTTACATTTACATTTACATTTAGTCATTTAGCAGACGCTTTTGTCCAAAGCGACGTACAAGGGAGAGAACAATCAAGCTAAGAGCATTAAAAACCTGGTGTAACAATAAATACTGCTTATAAAACGACATAGAAAGAATAAAAAAGAAGTGCGGGCCTGTTACTGCTTAAGTGCAGGTTAAGCCAAGGTGCCAGAGTTAGGAAGGGAGGTGCTCTTTGAAGAGTTGGGTCTTCAAGCGCTTCTTAAAGGTAGAGAGGGACGCTCCTGCTCTGGTAGTGCTMGGCAGGTCGTTCCACCAACGTGGAACTACAACTGAGAATAGTCTGGATTGCCTTGCTTGCACCGGGGGCAGTGCCAGACGACGCTCACTGGATGAGCGCAGCGTGCTGGGTGTAACATATGCCCTTACAAGAGCAGTTAGGTAGGTGGGGGCAGACCCAGTAAGCACTTTGTGGGCCATCATAAGTGACTTGAATTTGATGCGAGCAGCTACCGGCAGCCAGTGGAGCTCAGTGAGAAGCGGGGTGACATGTGCCCTCTTTGGTTGGTTGAACACCAGGCGCGCCGCCGCGTTCTGGATCATCTGTAGTGGTTTTACCACGCATGCCGGCAGGCCCGTTAGGAGGGCGTTGCAGTAGTCGAGGCGGGARCTCACCAAGGTTTGCACCAGCAGCTGGGTGGCATACTGGGTTAGGTACGGCCTGATTTTGCGGATGTTGTARAGYGCAAAGCGGCATGACCTCGCGACAGAGGCGATGTGGGCTGTGAAGGTTAGTTGGTCGTCAATAATGACCCCGAGGTTTCTTGCTGTTTTGGATGGAGCCAGAGATAAAGAGTCAGTCGTGATGTTGATGTTTTGGTGGATGAACTGTTTGGCTGGGAAGACCATCAGTTCTGTTTTGGCCAGGTTCAGCTGAAGGTGGTGGTTTTTCATCCATGTGGATATATCAGCAAGACAGTCTGAGATCCGTAAGACAGACAGAGAATTCTTCTTGTTATTGTTGTGCACTGGTATTCTTATATATACTATGGAAGTCATACTAGGCTATATTATGTATAGATGGTCCTCTCTTAGTGAGAGAACCATGACTGACATGGATTTTAGGAGACTGATGCTGATACGAATAATTTTAAATTTAAAGATGGGCGACGCATCTCCACTTCCCTCCTGCTATTCTGAAATAAAGCCAAAGTGTCCTGGATACGACTGCTGCCATCTTGTGCATTTGGAGCTAGAGTGTGTACAGTAGAAATCAAGGATGGAGTCACACAGTATCGAGGTCCCACCGATACAGTCTCGACCAAGAGCGAGTTAGTATCAGCTGCCAATCAGTGTGATAAGATTTACGGAAAGTGACAGAAACCATCTTGAGAAAACGTATTTGATGAAAGCACTGTAAAATACAAACAAAAGGAAACAAATAACAGAGAGTGGGTGAGGTTGATCAATCAAGAAAGAGGTGTTTTTTCCCCTCTCTTCCTAAAATGCGCCTCCTGTCTTCCTTGTTTGTGAGAAATCGTCATTCCTGAGAGAAGCGCTCGGTCACTGGGGTGTATTGTTGTCGGGAGAACAGTTGTCTGAAGGTTGAAGTCACCACAGTAATATCCTGCTCATCCCTCAGCATCACAGTTACACCACATGAAACAGGCACCAGATGAAGCAGAATTCATGCAGCCACCTTTCGCACATGAACTTTTACAAAAGTATCTCTTGTCCTCTGTATAAAACACCAGCTTCCCAATAGGGAACAGTTCAAAATCTCTGCAATGCACTGTGAACTGGTGTGAACAGCATGTTAGTGCTGAAGATTTGGATGAAAGGGGGAGAGGACAAGAGGAAGGAATCGAGGCAACAATAAACAGATGTGTTCTAAGGACCCCAGATTTGTGACCATCCTCCATTTCCTTCTCAGCAACGTACAAAAGCCAGTCTTCAATTTAATTTCAAATTCCAGAAAGAAGCACGCCGACATCTTGTGAGCATATTTGTTGTTTTTGTTAAATCTCCCTTTTATCGCAGTCATCTCAAAATATCAAAGTTTGCAAATTCTGTTGTTCAAGATCTTTTATCAAATGCAAAAAAATAAGTCATAGAAAACATTTGTGTTGACTCGGGGTCAACAACATTGAACATCTGCACTGTATCAGTTTTACTTAATAATCTAACACAAAGTTTTTTCGTTACTTGTCCTTGTTGGATGTAGCTGTGTCCAGTTTTAATGTTAACTGTTGGTATAAATCAAATTTTGTAAACTGAAACTAGGCACATATATGCAACAATTTGGCACGTTTTATTTGCAAAAAAGTAATAATGTTGCAAAACCTTCAGAAGAGTTGAAGTAATTGATTGGTTTGTTCATGTTATTCTGGATGCATCTGAAATTATATGGGTTGTTAGCAGGATTACCTAAAAACTACAAGACAGATTATCATGAAACTTGGTGGAAGGATGCAGTTGTCAGGAGAGATCATTAAATGTTCTTGCGAATCAGGATCAGGAGGCGGGTCCAAGATTTTTTTTTTAAGTTCTTTAACATTGTGACATTGGGAGCATTCCATCATTTTTGGAATATAATAATAAATCATTGATCTTGATCAAATCAGATATATATAGGGAACTGATATATGATGAAATCAAGATCGAGTGAATATAAATGTGATTTCATAAGTGGACTGTTTGGCCATGAGATTTTTAAAAGTGGAATTTGTATTTGATGTATAGCTGTCTCTTATTTGGATTCTTTGTGGCTTTAATAGTTCACAGTAAACACTGCTGTTATCACACATGGCCTGCACATGTGTACCAACTCTTCCCTCAGGTGGTTCAGTGTCTAACAGACCAGACAGCATCCCAGTCTGAACCAGACACTGCCTACAACAGTGTGACATACATTTTATTACCCTGTAAAACATAGGGTGAGGGTTGTTTGAACTATGCAAGACAATTCACTTCTTCTGCAGAATCTTTCTTTCTTTAATTAAAATATAAGGTTACGGTCTGTGTTTCCCACCTAGCCATCTGCTTGTTTTCCCTGTTAAAGTGTGGTACACAACTCTGAAATCTCGCCAGGTGCAAATATTTTGATGAGACTCTGGCCTGAGTGAGCGAGCCGAAAGGATAGAAATGAGATTTTAGAGGTGAACGCAATACCAGCTCCTGTAGAAAGGAATATACTTGGTATGTGAGATGCTATATTGAGGGTATTATATTGTTTTAGCATGAAAGCATTCTGTTTTGGCCTTTTCTAATATCAAACCTTCACAGGCTCCGAAAATGCCCCTTGCCACAAGATGTAATGTTAGAAGCTTTTGCCTTGCCTCAGTGATTATTATAACTTTTTACATCTTTGTTTTTCTTGTAAAGCTGAGGGCCTGCTGAAACAAGAACCATATCCTTCCTTGGTATTTTGTGGCTCGTTACAACTGGTCAGCTTGTCTTTGTCTTTTTTTGGTCACATAAGAAAGGACAGACACTGACAGACATGCCCCACCCCCCACTAGTTTCTGCATTTAACTAAACTTGCATAAATGTCCCACACACTACCTGCTACGTTTGGAACTAGACATCAAAATAATAATTTTTCACTATCAATGTCAAAAATTGGCTGAAACAATATCTTACAGAGCCATAATACATTAAACCTGATCCAATGATAGAATTCCACTGGAGCCTCAGGCAGCGTAGTGTACCTAGCAGGGCAGCTGATGATAGAAAACACATGTCCACAACCATAATGCCAGTTAGAGCTGCGTGCATCAGCTCTTTAAAGGACCATTCTGGTGGTTGGCATGTTTTGGTCCATTTACTTCAAGTTGTATATACTGTACCTTGCATGATTGCTGCACATGTACTCCATCAAGTTTTATTCAAGGAGTTTCCTTCATTCCAGGGAACCGCTGCTCATTTCATTACCATAGTTTTAATTTTTCACTTTCCAGTCACCTAAACTTTTATTTCATTGCCTGTTGTTAAGAGCTGTTTTGAGTATTCTTGCTCCTGATGTGATCAAGACCTCTGACAGCTTACATAATCACAAATGTACTGTTGCTGAGAGCTACACGAGAAGATTGATACTGCTGTCATTTCTGTTTAGTAAGTGTGGAACTCGAGTCAGTAATCATTCAACTTAGCTTAAAGACTGGCTGACTTTGTAAAAAAAATACACCTACCACCAACAAAATAATCACATATCATGTACGTAGTCCAAATAGTGGACATTCACATTTGTTTGTGTCAAGAATTAAACTGTTACAAGATGTTGCAGAGCAGGTTTTGTACCTTCGAACAGAGCCAGGTGAGTTTTGTAGGGACTCCAGGTAATCTACTCTACACATGCAAGCTGACCTGCTGAGACCTGAAGTAATTGTGCAAAACCGCTGATTCATATAGGTTTGCCAGAATCCAATATCTGGTTGCAGAGAATTATCCTGCGTGAAAAGATTACACATTGAGTGGGCGTATTGTAAGCCTGCTGTGATGTGCGACAACAAGTTGTGCCATTCAGTGCCAGGCCTTCTTTAGAGGGCTTAGAGATGGTCATGGTTAACAGGATCATGAAAAAACTACCATGATTATCAGGAAAGTTTGTGCTGTGTCAGGGAAGAATCCATTCAATTTGGGTGTGGATCCGGATGGGGAAATCAGAGACTTATGGGGCATTTTTTCAACATTTTTACTGATTTCTCAGAGAATAGATCGTAGATCTTGGTTAAAAATCAGGCAGGTGGGAGTGATATTTATGAGTGTGTTCAATTTGGTGCTGATCCAGATCCAGTGAATTTTAATGTAGTTTCATGAGGGGACTGTTCGGACTTGGAGGAGGTATGTTATCTTCTCTGTGCTAATATAGTTAGACACTGTTGTTGGACTGCAGATGTGGGTTTTAAGTGATGCATTGTTTATTGGTAGGGTTTAGGTTGATTCTCTAAATTTAATCCAATTTCTATTTCATTAATGCATGTGTAGAGATATTTTGCTGCTAGTTCTGCAGATTTGAGGCTAAACCGATAGCATATGTTGTCTGCAAACTGAAACTTTGGCTATGGTGGCTGGGGGGTTGTGTCAGACGATTTTCCAGGAATCTATAAAATAAAAAGGAGGGGACTCAAAACTGCACCCTGGGGAACTCCTACTATAGGTGAAAGGTTTGGGAATGGGTGGAGGTAACTGATTTTGATTTGTCGGTTGTTGCGAAAGCTTGAGATAATGGATTGAGTGGATTCGAAGTCTGTACCTTGTCCATACTGGTGGGGATATTTAATTTAATCTTTTAGTATGTCTATCAAAAGGACCTCATGGAGCATGGAGGACTAGGACAGATTCGATTCATGCACTGAAGAACAGCGGCCCAGTTCTGGTCTGTGGATAATGAGGTATGCCTTGAAATAGAGAGTATAGCTTGAAATAGCTGTACAAATATACAGTTGTGCAGTGCATAATGATGGAGCAGGTCTCCTTTTGGCACCGAAAATCATTATTAAAGAGCACAGCTGAGAGAAAAGAGAGATCATTATGTGTAGTCTTGTTCCTTGTCCAGCTCTAAACTTTGGACACTGCTGGTACACCCCTGTAAAGAATAAAGACAAATAAAGAGCAACACATACAAGTGCTTATGTTTCTTAAGCTGTTTTTGTTTTTCAACTACGTATGTTATCTCTTTCTTGGGATCAAACTCATCCAGAAATATTGACTTCAATATTTTTGGTCCTTTAATTTTCAGTCTTTTCACGCCAAGTCTCCTTTCAAAAAGAAATTTATAAATTAGCAGACATTTTGCACACCCTATCCAAACAGACCAAACAGATGTTAAAGTGCAATCAGTTTTCCCTGAGAAAAAACTGTACTGGGCATAGAGGTGTAACCCGCAAAGGTTCAATTGAATTGTTTTCTGATGTAATTCGATTACGCCCTCCCCCAGAAATGAGAAGCAGGTAACAGGAGAGTAACATTAGCTGCATTCCTGCAACAATAAAAACAGACTTTATTGAATCAATACAAAAGCATTTCCCCCTCAACCTAAAAAAATAACAGGTGCTCACAGTCTAGTTTTGCACCCAACCATGGAGTCATACAAATTGAACATGACAGCCTGATAGTTGTAACAGCATGGCTACAAACGCTTCGGGTGACATTTGTTTCTGACAGAGAGCAAATAGTCAAGTTTGCAAGCTGATGACATGTCACAGTAGTTTGTCAGCTTGTGTGGAAACTGCTGGTTAAAGCTTTTGCATGTTAAAGGGTTACTACATTGAAAGAAATGACAGCAGCTCTGATACAGTTGCAGCAGCACAAACTTTCTGAATGGACAATATTCATTTGCAGATATTTGAGCTGTTGAGTTCAAGTTTAAAATTTCTATTGCAGAAACTGCTGACAATTTCCCCAAACTCAAACGCTAACATTGAAAGGCCCTGGACTGACAAAATGCATAGTAATTGGTTGGGAGAGACATACATATAAAAAGTGACAAAACTATATTAGTATAAAGCATACAATACTGTTGAAAGTGAGCGCTACACATACTAACATCAAACTGTTCATCTCTTAAAAGAATTAATGTAATTCTGTGTTTTCTAAAGTTCTGTTTCTTTCCTCCATATACAACTGATCATCTACATTGTTATACAATCACATGATAAAGTTAAGAGTGGCCTGTTTTCACACAGCCATCTTGGGAGTTGACCCAACAGCTGTTAAGGTGGTTTGGGGAAAAAAACTTGGCTTCTACAGTTGTGTTAGGAAAAAAGGCTGGTGTGGTATTTACAGAATGTGCATCTTTCTGACTGTTTGGAGGTTTATATCTTAACACACTCAGTGCCCGTCTTTGGCGTTGTTGGTGTTGACGTTGGTGAGTCCGACGTTTTCCTGCTCCTGGCTCTTTCTGTCACGTGCTTCTCCCTCCATGTGGTAGCCAACCATCAGCTGGTAGATCATCACACCGATGATGGTGCCAAGGAACGGGGCAAAAATGGGCACAAGGAACCAGCCGTTTCTCGTCCTGAGGAGTAGGAAGAGAAAGAGTGAATAATACAAATGGTTTGTTAGACAGTGAGCACTTTGAGAGTGACGTTAAGAAGAGTTCATGCATAGATTAAAAAGTCTGTGCTCTTACGTGAAGACCTCAGTGCCCCACCCAGCCATTGCAGTGAAAATACGTGGTCCAAGGTCTCTGGCAGGATTGACAGCATATCCAGAGTTAAAGCCCATAGACAGTCCAATAACCAGAACCACAAATCCCACAGTGAAGGCCTCCAGCCCCTGGGGGATGGGGTTGTTGTATGGGTCCACGATAGCCAGAATACAAACGATTAGGGCTGCTGTGCCAATTATCTGGAGAGAGATTGAAAGAGAAAGTTGTGCTAAGCTGTGTCATCCATATCTGAAAAAAGGACATTTAGTGTATGATAGCTGTCTCCACTTTTCAAAAATGAGTACCTGATCAAAGAAGCCATTGACAATAGTGAGATGCTTTCCAGGGTAGGTGGCAAAGATGCCAGCTGTGGCTCTAGGACCAGTCACATTGAAATTTCCAGGATGGTCCCACAGAGCGTCTAAAGGGACAAACAACAAAAATGGAGCATTAGATATTTTTCTGTTGAGATCAGCTGTTTAAATGACATCAAAACATACATTTGTTCATATTTGGTGGCAAAAGGATTATTTTAGATTTGGCTCCACGTCTGGATGTTGTCTCTTACCGTAGTACATGCCAAAAATGATGGCAGAACCAAGGAAAGCACCGATTGTCTGAAAGAGGAAGTACATTGGGAATTTCTTCCAGGGCTCTCTTCCAAGTAGACACAGGGCAAAAGTCACTGCGGGGTTCAGATGGCCACCTGTAAATGTACATGGTCAGAACATATTATGGTGCTGCAACTCTGATACCACACTCAAACCACAGACTTATTATTATAAGTAAAATGTGATTCTGCAATCAGGATCGAAATAATGCTCAGAATTGACTGATTCCTAAACATCCAACCAAATAACTCATTGAGAACATTTTGTTTGGATGAGGAAATTTCCAGTGAAATTGTTTGCATACCTGATACTTGACCACAGACCAGGATGCCTAAGGTGGCAGCAAAGCCGAAGGCAAAGTTGACAGTGAGGAACATGCCATGGGAACCGCTGCTCAACACCAGCTGGGCCACAGCACCGCAGCCAAACATCTGAAGAGAGAAGGAGAAAGACAAGTTCAAACTAGTTGTGACAATCATTAATTATTTTACACAACATGCACCAACTGTATTCACTCTCTCAGTGTTGTATTAAGAAGAAACCTTACGAAAATATTTTTCAATCAATTAAAGTCAAACCAAGGGTTGATATGAGGCAATGTGATTATTATCAGTGAAACCAGAGAAGGAAGCCCCATTAAAGGAGCTCTATTGGGTTCATAATGGCACACAGGGATACAGTGTTGCATGTGCAGGAAGGTCAGTGTGTTGACCTACTATACACAGCTGATTTATGTGGGAAGGAGAAAAAAGCGTGTGTTTTAAGGCAAAGTGTTTGTGGCCAAACAGGTGCCACGCTGCACTGAAAAGGTCAAAATTGTTTACCAACTTCAGTCGGTAACACAAATACATTTAATTGTTTCAGATTAAAGTTGTGAATGTAACGTGTTAAATTTAATTTGAACAATTTGTGTAGCAGTTGCTCCATCAATTTTTGTGATTCTGTGTTTCAGTGTGTGTATCCCTGTGTGTATTCGTATAGTATGTGTGGTCCATTGTTAGGCTGCTGCTCTCTGAGCCCCCTGATGAGGATGCTGAGGTTAGTGTGAGGGAAGTGCACTCAGAGGGACTGGCGCCTGAGGGGCGTTCATCATCACTGAGCTCAGTCTAAACCCTGTTCCCACCCCTGAAGAGACTGTCAATTCAACTGGAAAAATACTCCATAAATCAGCCCGAGTTAGAATTGTGTTGTCTGTTTTGTTTGGGCAGATTTATCTTCCTGGTGGTGTTGTGAAAATAAAAAAATGCTAACACTTCACCTCCACTAGTTTTTCTTAATGTCAGAGGCATCGGATTCCAAATGATGGGCCATTCACCCTCTAGTGCCAACTTCCCTATTAAAGGGAACTATCCCTTTACATTTCGGCAGAAATGTTTCATGTTAATCCGACACTGAATCTCAGAGCCTTGGGTGTTAGTTCTAACTCTGACAGGCTCATTTTCAGTAGGTTGTTCACTCTACAACTAAAGCAACCTGGTATGTTGCTGTCATAATGTTGTGGTTGGGTAACTGCACACCCAACCAACATTCCCTCGCCCGATTCAGCTGGCTATGCATTACTCCCAGCTTTTAGCACAGTTGGGGAGCTTGTAAAAAAAAAAAACCCACAGCCGACAGTGTTACTGAAACAAAGATTTGGCATTTGGTTTGGAGCTGAAGGCAAAAAAGGAAAAAACTGCTGGCCTGGAACTAGACTCTAAATCACCTGACATCTTCTCAAATTCAGGACAAGGAGCCTGAAAAGGCGTCCACACGACTGCGATCGGGGTCAATGCAGGGAGCAGTGGTTTGAAGTGGAAAGTGCAGTTAGGCTGTTGGGTATTGCTTTGTTTGATTTCCGCGTCACTGAAGGGTCTGTTCACTCACACATTCATTTTGTTGGCTGGCTCTCAAACCTGACGGATTCTATAATACTGTCTAAAATACCTGGAGTTACTCACACTGGGCCAGGACTACAAAGAGACACACCCTCAAACACACCTAGACACACCCTTCACGCATGATACCTCTGAGTCGTCTCACACTGGCAGGCGATAACTCACTAAGAGTTTGCTTTGTTCCCGATTGCAAAATGTATTTGCAAGTTTATTTGGAGAGAGAAGGTCGTACACAGAGATTAGAACCGAATCAGATATCTGTGTATGAGCTCTATGAATATGAGAAGTCAGAGTATGTGAGACATGTCTGTGATGTGATTCCTATTGTTCTGCCACTGACTCTCCTACTGCTGCCATCACCATGTGTCACCTGTTCAATAATGACACCACACCTTTGTGCACCATTAGTCGTCATAATACAAGCTAAACAACTACCGACAACAAAGATTTTCACTCCGTGGCTTTAATGTTTCAGTAGTTTTCCAGTGCACATCTGTACAATGTACTTGTGTATATATATTATCTATTACAATATATATTTG